TCAGAAAGAAGACCGGAGAGAAATAGAAAGTAAACATCGACTTCATGAAAAAGTGAGCAAAAGTGACACAAAATGAGTAAGGGAAAACACATGAGAGTTTTTCTTAGTACATGACAGCGTCAAACATGTTCCAGTAGGAGTTCGCCTCAGCAACAACAGGCAAAAATAAATGGAACTACAAATGGTTGCTTTAAAAAACATTTTCTTGGGAATATCATTAATGTATCATGCTAAAGCACACTATGTGAAACGTGCCTAGTTTTGTTCATCATAAGCTTACATGGCAAGGGAAAACAGACATCTGTGTTGGTTTGGTCCTCTGGGAATCAAATGTCAAGACAAAGTCAGGAATATGAAATGTGTTCAGAATCATGCCTCTGGAAGATACTGGGAAGTGTGAGCAGATGGCAGAAAAAGCTTCCAGACCATGAGGCTTGGCTCACTTGTGAAAGAGGGAGAGGTAGGGAAGATTGAGAAAGCTGGGCACAGAGTGCCCCAAGAGGTCTTGTGCTGGCAAGAAATACCCAGGACCCAAAAAGCATGACCGTGGTGGGAAAGCTGAGGGCACCCCAAAGAGGCTGCAGCAGGAGGCTGCCAGCTGACAGAGCTCCCCGAAGCAGGTTCTCTCTTGAAAGAAGACACAAGCCATACATCTCCATGGTTGCCAAAATAAACAGTCACTCTAGAAAGTTCCTTGGTGGCCTCCCTGGTGACTTGGAAGGTAAAGAATCTGCCTGGAATGCAGGCGACCTGGGTTCGATCCCGAGGTCAAGAAGCTTCCTGGGAGAAGAGTATGGCAACCCACCCCCGTATTCTTGCCTGGAGAATCCCCATGGACAGCGGAGCCTGGCGGCTGCAGTAAACAGGGATGCACAGAGTTGAACACTACTGAAGCAATTTAGCACGCACACACCAGAAGGTTCAGCTGACACTGGGGTCAACATTTTATTGATCCACTACTATGGTCAGACACCAGAAGCTTTGTATTGATCTTAAAGAGTTTATTTTAACCCGGGGTTGAAACATATGCTACTGGAAAGCACAAAGTAATCCAAGTCATGTTAAAAGGATAGAAAGTGTATTTTTCAGATGATTTAAGCAAATTTTAATTTTCTACATTTTTGGAGAAACTACAGAGGTAATACAATTATTTCATTTGAAAGGTACTACAGATTCTATCTGCCTGGAGAATTCCATGGACATAGCCTGCAGGGTTACAGTCCATGGGATCACAGAGTCGGAGACAACTGAGTGACCAACACACACACATGCTGCCGCTGCTGAGTTGCTTCAGTCGCGTCCAACTCTGTGCGACCCTGTAGACGGCAGCCCACCAGGCTCCCCCATCCCTGGGATTCTGCAGGCAAGAACACTGGAGTGGGTTGCCATTTCCTCCTCCAATGCATGAAAGTGAAAAGTGAAAGTGAAGTCGCCCAGTCGTGTCCAATTCTTTGCGACCCCATGGACTGCAGCCTACCAGGCTCCTCCGTCCATGGGATTTTCCAGGCAAGAGTACTGGAGTGGGGTGCCATTTCCTTCTCCAACACACACATAAGATTCTATCATAAAGGGGAAAAAAAAGCATTTTGATCCCCCTTAAATTTTTTATACTTGTTCAATGATTTGTTATTATTCACTCATCATACTTTCAGTATAAGCAATTTCTTACTGCAAAGTTATAAAATCCAACTTGAAGTGAAAGTATTAGTTGCTCAGTCATGTCCACCTCTTTGTGACCCCATGGACTGTAGCCCGCCAGGCTTCTCTTGTCAGTGGAATTCTCCAGGCAAGAATACTGGAGTATGTAATCATTCCCTTTTTCAGGGGTTCTTCCTGATTCAGGGACAAATCTGGGTTTCCTGCATTGCAGGTGGGATTCTTTACCATCTAAGCCACCAGGGAAGCCCCAAATCCAACTTACACTGGCCTATTTTTTTTGAAAAGTTTTATTGAGTTAATTATAACCAAAGGACAAAAGCTGCTTCTCTGTAACAGGTACCTACTAGTGTTTGTGATTTACAAAGCTTCAACTGAATCCTCCCAACGATTTTGTGTGATGGGTTGTACAACTTGATCAGAGGTTCAGAGAAGGTTCAGAGAAGTTAAATGAATTGCTAAAGTGGCAGAGATGAGATGAGATCTTAATCTTCTGACTACTTAGTTCAATGCTCTCACTATATCAATATTATATCAATACTTAAGAGTATTCCTATTTTTTTAGGGGCAGTAACACACTTGGCTTAAAAACAAAACAAAATCACAACCCTCCTTGGTGTTTGTGTTGTATGTGGTGGCCCTGGAACAGAGCTCTGGCTAATGAGATATAATAACAGAGGTTGGGAGGCACTTCTGAGGGTGGTGACCGATTCCTCTGGTTCTCAGCTTTTCCTCTGCTCCCTTGCTTCTTCATATCTGAATAGTGGGTGTGATGTCTGGAGGTAAAGGTGTCATCTTACATTTGACTATTATAAAAATATCCAGGGGAATCACAGAGACTTACTCCTGACAAGAACGCTGTACTGCCAACTCTGCGGAGTTAAATGAGAGGGGAGAAAACAACTGTCTTGCTTAAATCGCCATGATTTTTTATTATTATTATGTGCAACTGAATGCAAGTCCCACCTAATACATTGCTCTTCTCCTAATTAGTTCACTCATAATTTCCTTCTGCCTTGTGCCCCTACTATGTGCCTGCTGCCAGAACAAAGCAAAAGTCCTCATCATGAGGGATTCTGCCACTCTAAATTAGGGAGCTGACGTAGCTCTCGGGTACACTGCTCATTATAAACTGTGCTGACTGGAGCAGCCACTGAATTCTCAGGGAGCCTCTTCTGACAACTTCTCGATTACTGACAAATAATGTGGCTCTGCTAGGTGTGCATAATCACCACCTGAGCTGTGGAGAATTAAATTAATTATATCTCCATCAGGTCCCTGACAAGTTTGTCTATTGTTTTAATTTTTCCTTCTCTACATCACAATTCTATATTTCATCACCCCAAAGTACTCCAAATATATGTTTAATATCTGCCTTAAACAGCCATGGAATTCTTTTTGCTGATGCACTGGACACAGGCTTATTTTCACTTCTCAATAACAGATTCTTTGAGCACTGCCAAATTGTTAATTCTTTAATGTGTCTACTGTTTCTTAAAATTGCTTCTGAATATTTGTCCTTCTCTCTGAGAAGATAAGCCAGATCATAAGTGTGGCTCCATATTTTCAAATGTGATCTTACCTGTTTTCTATCAAGTGATAATTTTGAAAGGTCTTCATGACTTCCCAAAATTCCAAATTTCCTTCCTTCATTTCTCTTTTAAAGATAGAGAGTAAAATGAGTACAATCACTAATTATACATTGAGAACTGTAAAATGAATTTCACTCTTCCTTCATCCCATATTCTAAAAGCCATCTGGTCTAATCCTCCAGCAAGTTTCTTTGAGAGGAACATATTCTTACTAGGGTCTTCCCTTTGGTGAATACTCGGACATTTCGTTTGGACACTGAATTGTCTGGGGTTGCAGTTTTAACCACATGTTACTAAGAGCTACATGCTTAGTAACATGGAGTAAGGTGAAGGAAATTTTTGCTATTCAACCCACCGAGTTCTATAAGGGATACATCTGGGAGAGCACCAAAGATCATATATTTTTTCCGAAATTCCTATCCAAAATAATCATCATACATTTAAAGAAAGCTTAAGGATTCTCAAAGCACTGTCACCTATTTATTTGATTTGATTTGCATGGCATGGATATAACTGTAATTCCCGTGTTACAGGTGAGGAAATTGGAGCTCAGGGAGCTTAACTTGAGAATCCCAAGTAGTAAGACGCAAACCCAACAGCAATTAAAATATTTCCCTTTTATTCAATAATAGAATCTTATAATTGCAAGGGACCATTATGATTATTTGGCTCAGCTGCCCACCCAGTGCAGAAAATCTATAAAATCCTAATATTGGTCATCTAGCATTTATTGATTACTTAAAATGATAGGGAACTGACTATTTCATAAGAGCCCACCATTCTGTTGGACAGATCTTGTTTTTTGTTTTTGTTTTTTTTTTTCCAAACATACAGCTAAAATTCACAACTTTTGCGCATGGCCTCTTTTCCTGTATTTGAATTTAAAAAAAAGTGTTTCCTCATTAAAATTGGGAATTGTAAAAAATAGTCACTGTATTCCCCTTCAGCCTTCCTTCTAGAAGCCGCCGACTCGGCCATGTCCTTGTCTCTGCACTATGGCGCCGTATCCAAACCGCCTGCCTCCTGGCCCCCTCTGGCGGCATCTAGTCTCTGTGGTCCTCCTGGATGCAGAGTTCTGTCCCCTCGGAACTCCTGGCAGAGAATGGCCTCCCCACCCGCACGCACCCCCAGAGCGTTCCACGTGCTCCACACATCCCTTCACCCCCTGGGGTGGCTCCACTCCGCCACCTGGGCTCCAGACAGATCACTTCCACGGACGCTTGAGAGGGCCCTGCTTCATGAGATTACTGTTTCCACTTAGTGCCCTCAGATATATCTTTCTTGAACTATGTAATGCCAAGCCTCACCCCCCATAGTACATGTGAGCAACTGATTTCTGAAATTCTCAGTGTAGAACTTAGTTAAGAGTCTGTCAGAGTCCCCGAAGTCATAATCAGCTAGCTCTATAAGCTGAAGGTGAAAAAACTGAAGCTGCCTAAACTGAGGTGTAGAACTATACCCAGCTGTAAAAAGTGAAGGCAGAGTGAGGGATATGTAGCTACAACAGCAAAAACATGCCCCAGAATAGCTCTCCCTTTTAATACCCAGTCCGGATAATGTGACACATTATTCTAGCTACATTTCATGGATTTTTCTTATACTTTTTAGTAAAAAATGTAAAGTCACAGGACTGCTCTGAACTAAGGGACTACATTTGGGAATGGATGGGCATGTTATCACAAACCGCTGTGGTATTGTGCTTATCATGGTTTTAGTTTAAAAACATAATTTCTGATTATCAAGTGAAATCACCTTGTTCATTTCTGCATCCTCCTGCTCCTGGAAGCCTTTTTTATGGCCCTGGAACAATTCAGAAATCCATTTTTTAAGCCTCAATAAAAGATAAAACAGGGACTTTGGACTTGGCACCAGGTTGAAGGGAACAGGAAGAGTTCTTCCCTCCTCAAAGTAAGAAAACCAAAGTTTGGCCCTTGCAAATTTCCATTCCACATCAGCATCATCCTATACAAATAAATATGACAGGTCAGCAAGGAAATGCACAAACAGCATTACTGGGACGCTTCTGACATTGTGTGGCTAGATAGAAGTAATGTCACCTACAACAACCTCAGACCTCAAACACTACCCCAAGATGGTCTCAAAAATGTTAAGGTACTACTCACACACTCTTAGGAAAGAAAATTTAGGAAAATTTACTTAAAATTTTATCATTCTTACAGATCTACAGATCTCAACACTTGCATGTATTTATAAATACACTGAAAGTTATAAATCTATTTCCTATATTCTGAAAAACACTATGAAAAATTATTCACTCTTATATTTTGCAACAGATCACTGCTTTGATGAATGGGGGACACAGACCAAACGATTCTTGGAATAAAAATCACTCTAAATTTGAGAAAGGGTCAATTTTGAACATCGCTCAAAGCAATATTTGGAGAATAGTGGCATTCATGAGCAATAATTTTTGAATGAAATATAAATTCATGCTTATATAGTGTTTCTAAGAATTTATAAATAATAATACCAAATCATACAACATTTCTCATCCTTACTCCTTACTATCCCACCACACCCATAGATGTTGTGCTTGGAAGGAAAGGATTAAGATTGTCTAGATTACTACATATAAAGAATATAAAAAGTATAAATTTTCTATAAAATATATAAAGAAGCATATAAAAAGGGCAAGAACAGATAGAAAGTAGTCTATAGTATCACCACTATTGCTGAGTTGACCCTGGAATAGTTAAAACATATACCACATAGTATACAAATATATAGAGATTATACCTCAATTTCCTGGAATGAACTGTTGATCATTGCAATTAACATATTTAGCAAAACAATGACCATCGTAACATTATAGACTCCATAAAGAACATAACCGATGTTTTCAATGAATTTGTGATTATAGTTGATGACCACTGATTTCACTTCAGAAAGTCCAAATATAGCCCAAAACAGTGTCTTAAAACTCTCTTCCACTCTGGGTAAAAAGAAGGAAATAAAGGAAATGATAAAGCATACAAATGAATGACAATGATATCATAATAAAAGCAAGCTGATTTAATGTCTGAAAATTATTAGATATGCATAAGAAAATTCTTTACTTCCTTGAGCCTCAGTTTTCTTTTTTGTAAAATGGGACAATAACCATTTCCAGGATTGTTGCAAGGATAAGGGAATATTTTGCATATGAAGCACACAACTCACTATCTGGCACATAATAAGTGCTCAATAAATGCTAACATAACTTCAAACCACAGATATTAACATTTAAATAATCCATAGGTTTGGTAAAGGAAATAGTTAACTGTGTTACTTAATAAAAATGATGTAATCTTTTATAGTACTTTTGTGTTTCTGCTCATCTACACTTCTAATATCCAATAAATAGATAATAGTATGTGTCTTAAGGTGTCTTAAGGAAAATATGACAATATAAGCATAGTCAGTGTTACTAAAGTCACTGACATGTCTTAGGAATTTCAATGCTTTAGGCATAATTATTGACCAAAATGAAGTTCCTCTGCTTAGGTCAGGTGGTTCAGTTTCTCTGACAAACTGAACCTTACAGGAATATGAATATAGGTTATGCTTCCATCAATACTTCTCATTGTAACATTTTTTTGTTGTTCCTCAGTTGCTCGGTCGTGTTCGACTCTTTGTGACCCCATGGACTGCGCATGCCAGGCTTCCCTGTCCTTCACTGTCTCCCAGAGTTTGCTTAGACTCACGTTCATTGAATCAGTGATGCCATCAATCTTTCCCAGCATCAAGGCCTTTTCCAATGAGTCAGCTCTTTGCATCAGGTGGCCAAAGTATACCTAAATACCTAATATTTGAATAATGTGTTCCAAACACACTTCATAAAAAACACATGTGTCCATGGTGAACATAAGTTAAAACTCTTGTCACTGCTGGTAACTCAGATTACTTTTGGAAGCAGCCGTTCTCGTGGGGCCCCAGGAATCTGAACTGAGCAGGACACAGCAGTGAAGAGCCCAGATGCTAGAGTCGGTGGACAAGGGACTATGTCCTGGCTTTTCTACCTACTGGCAGCTATGAGGCATTTAGCGTGTCGTTTAAATTCCCTGAGCTTCAGTTCCTTTTTGTGTGAAACAGAGATGATCAGATGATGTGTGTGAGGTAGCTCCTGGGCCTAAAATTGTTAACTATTATTATTTACTATTAGAAAGGTTGCTCACATTGTTGAGTTCTTACAACACATTTAAAACTTCTCTCATAATGCTAAAGAGTAACTGGAAATAAAGTCTTTACTAAAACATTATTTATCCCACTGTTGCATATGAACACTATTAGGCTAGAGTTTAACTGACAATCATCATGATTAAAAGAACCAAAATCACCTACGTTGTGAAGGCTTCGTTTTGCTTTGCACCAATGTAGTAGGAATAGAGGTTGAACATTCCAATCATAAAGGCCACAAACACCATGATGAATATGACCATGAACTTGAAGATATCTTTTACTGTTCTTCCAAGTGATATCTGCAGAGGTCCAAAGCTTTCATTTGCTGGTAAAATGTAGGCTATTCTGGAGAAACTTAAAACTACAGCAATTGCATAAAGACCTTCAGATATAATTTGAGGATCAGAGGGGTCCCACTTTATCCTGGCTAGGAGGAAGGAAAGACAAAAGTTATGGTGAGTTTATTTACATTTTTTACTTGGGGCTTCCCTGGTAGCTCAGATGGTAAAGAATCTGTCTGCATTGCAGGAGACCTGGGTTTGATCCCTGGGTCAGGAGATCTCCTGGAGAAGGAAACTTTTTACTTAGGTAACTTCTTTTCTGGGATAGAAATATAATTATATTAGCAATCCAGTTCCTGATGAAACTTCTTTAAGTGTCAGGTTCTGAATTTACAAAGAAAATTATCCCCCTGGTTTGCTGGCAGTTTTCCATAATGGTACAGCATAATGGTTGAGAGTACAAACTAAGGACTTGTCATATGTAACCACTCCAATATTCTTGCCTAGAGAATTTCACGGACAGGAGAGTGGTGGGCTATAGTCTGTAGGGTCGCTGAGAGTTGGACACGATTCAAGCAACTTACCACACACACATTCCTGCATGCATCTATCTATCTAAAATCAACTAGAAGAACTAGTACAAATTATTTATCGTATTAATAGTTTTATTTTCCCATCTTTAAAAATTACATACTGCTTCTATCTATCATCTGTTGTGAGAATTTAGTAAGTCAACATAAATTCAGTGTTTAGAAAGTGCTTGGCACTAGCTAAATAGTAGCACTTACTATTTAATCTTAAACTATAATAAAAGAAAATAAGGCCCTAGTAAATGATATCATTATTTAGTCACAATAAAGTAATTTGGGGCCTATGCAATACTTGTAGTTATTTAAACTTACTAAGGTCATTTATACTGGACATTCAAGTCTATTTTTATCATAGAATGTAGTAATTATTCATTTATGAATTTTTCTGACATTATTACATCAGAACATCAAAAATCTAATTAAAAAGCCATTATGAAGAAAAATGCAAAGCAGTGTGTAACAGAGAGGAAAAATATAATTATAAATTTGTATTTGATTATTTGCTGAGAAGTAGAATTAGGAACAATAAAGTAATAAAAGCAGTTTCTTTTTATATAGCACTTTGAATATTAGTACAGTATATAAATAGTTTGACTTGTAAAATTCCATATGTTAAAATTTTTCTTATAAAATAATGGCTATATTCCCTGTGCTGTACAATATATCCTTGTATAAATTAAGCCCTACATACGTTCTAAAAATTGTTAAGTATTAAAATATAAAAGAGAAATAATAAAAAAAAGAAATCCCTATGTGATACAGGCAATAAAACTCATAGAGATGTCAACCGTATGTTAACTGACATCTTATCAGAGGAGGACTTGACGTAAGTAGTCAAAGAGAATGTTTTTCCCACCCTAGGTTTCGACAAGGAGAGACTTCCCCTAAGCAAATAACTGGACCTATTTATACTCCTAGTCCCTTTCCTCCTGGGGAGGTAGAGTGACTTCTCTGATTGCGGTACTGGGACGGAACACTGAACTTGCTTGCCTCAGCTCTGCCCTCTTTACCTTGGGAATTCTCCTCTGATCTTCCATGGAGGAATCTCACATGACCATACCTGCTAACATACCCACTTCGGGAATGACTCCAATAAATTTTTATTGGAGTATAGTTGATTCACAATGCTGTGTTAGTTTCTGCTACATAGTAACGAGAATCAGTTATACATATACATATACCCACTCTTTTAGATTCTTTTCCCATATAGGTCATTACAGAGTATTGAGTAGAGGTCCCTGTGCTAACAGCAGGTCCTTATCAGTTATCTATTTCATATATAGTAGTACGTATATGTCAATTCCAACCTGCCTCTTGTGTTTATTCCTCCCCTCCCTTCCCTCTTGGTAACCATAAGCTTGCTTTCTACATCTGTGGCTCTATTTCTGTTTTGTAAATAGGCTCATTTGTACCATTTTTTTTTAAAGATTCTGCAAACAAATGATATCATATAAATTCTACATTTTATAAACATATTGACTGGGTACTGTAAACTCACCCAAATTGTAGTATTTCACATTGTCTCCCAGTGTGACTTTTGTCAAATCCTTTAAAGTATCATTTGCATCAATGATGCTCTGGGCTTTGGAAGCATGCCAGAACGCCATGAATCTTGCAATGAATGATGCTGCAAAGATTGCCAGCATTCCAAAGTCAAGCATATTCCACAGTTCAAACAAGTACTCCTTGGGGCCTTGAGTCCAAATTTCTTTACATTCAGCCCATATCATGCCTGTATGGGAAAGAGGTTAAAATAGCAATCCAATTTCATTCCAGCCTTAGTTTTTCACCAAAACAAAACAAATTTAAAAGGGCTCAGGCTGACATTCAAAACCCTTCAAAATGTGACCTCATCTTACACATTCAGCCATCATTATCCTGTCCCTACAAATCCTACAGTCTAAAAATATCAGTACATTACCTTAAAGCAATTTGACAAAGTTCATTAAGGGCATTCAAGCAGCAAACATGATTTGAGCCATTAATTCTATACATAAGATGTTCATTATAGGATTCTTTATAATAAAAAATGTAAACACACCCATACTAACATCCTCAAAATAGAAGTAATCATGGGACTTTCACAAATAGACTATTATGTAGCCATTTCATATGATATTTTAATTACCATGGAATAGTGGCCACAAGAGTGTGCCCCACAGGCCTCCAAATATGGGAATTTAACTGGCCATGGGCCAAAGCTGGAGCACTCTGAAAACTAGAGACACTTTTGCCCTAAGCCCATGGGAAGCATGGGTTTCTCCTCACCAATGACTGAGGCCATCCCTTCTTGGGACTCATGGGACTCCTCCGATGGCTGACCTCAGCTCAAGGGTCTCTTGACAGCCTTGTCAAACTTTCTTTAGATGGAATGGAGATCTAGGGTGCTTCTGTCCTACTTTCCTTCCCTCTCTCCTGCCCTCAGCATCAACCTTGCATCTCAGTCTTACAGCCCTTGCAGGTTTCTTCAACTCCCTCCCATTTCTCTCACATAGAATTTCTCTTAATAAAATTGTTGCATGTTAAATTCTGTCTTTGCATATGCTTCTTGGAGGACCTAGACTAATACACAATGGGTAATGTTTATGTCATAAACATTCAAGCATGCCAAGTAAACATTTTATATATTCTATGATATTATGTTTAAAACAGCAGAGTAAAAGACTAGAAGGAATTACAGGAGCATAGTAGTAGTAGTTTCTTCTTGGCGGAATTATTATTAATGGTGCACATCTACTCTAAAACTTAGTATATTACTTAGGAGCCTAGGTTTTGAAATCAGACACCATGGCATCATTGATGCAATAAACATAAACTTGGGCAAATTTTGGGAGATGGTGAGGGACAGGGAGACCTGGCATGCTGCAATCATGGATGGGTGACTGAACAATCACAGTCATCCATTTGTTAGCTGTGTAATCTTTGGCAACTTACTGAAACTTTCTAAAACTCAACTTGCAAAATGGGCATGATAGTAGTTTGTACCTACTTCATAGGATGGTTATGAGACTTAAGTAACTTATGAAAAATGCACAGCACAGTGTCTGGCACTTGAAAAAATAACTAATTTTACTGAGAATTTACTATTTCAAATTTTCTATGTCTGGCACATATTTTCTTTCTTTGCTAAAAAGAAGTAACTTTACCTCTATTATCTTTAAGATACCCTAATCTCTGGTATTCTGTCTCCTCCTAGAGCAATCTGGAGAAACACAACCTGAACCCCAACAGTTCCTCAAAGTCTGCTTCCATCAAGAAGTCTCCAAGATACCCTCGTTGAAATTAATCTTCCGCCCCTTCTCCCACTAATCACCTTCCCCAAATGCCCACATTTGTCATGAACCTTTATCACAGAACCTATGTGAATCATTGTGGAGCCCTATAGGGGTTTTAAAAAGCCATGTTCTCTGTTCTTCCAACAACTTGTGCGTGCATGCTAAGTCACTTCAGTTGTATCTGACTCTTTTCGGCACCATAGACTGTAGCCTGCCAGGCTCCTCTGTCCATGGGATTCTCCAGGCAAGAACACTGAAGTGGGTTGCCATTTCCTTCTCCAGGGGATCGTCCCAACCCAGGGATTGAACCTGTGTCTCCCGTGTCTCCTGCATTTGCAGGCAAGTTCTTTACCACTAGCACCACCTAGGAATCCCCTTCCAACAACTTAACTGTGCTTTTCTCAAAATCAGCATTCAATGTATCACACGACTTACTTATTTTGAAATTATTCCAAATCTAGAGAAGGCTGGGATTGAATGCATATATACTTTAGTGGATCAAATTTATTAATAGGAAACACTGCATGTGTACACTCATGCACACACACATGCACACACACACACAAACTGAGCAGAAGTGAAAAAATCTGAGGGCAGTCTTTGTGTGGATGTTGTCCCTGGATTCCCGCCAGCTTCCTCAATAGGAAACAAGGGTAGTTTAGAGTAGCTGAAAAATGGATTACTGGGGGTGTTAAACTCATATAGTCTAGCTGTTTTCAAAGCTTGTCTCCTTCTTCCCATTTCTCCTCCATCTTCTTCTCTCTTTAAGGGGTACAATTCTTGATAAAAATTATAATCTTCCCAAAGCTTAAAAGATAAAACAGATACAGCAAACCATTCTGTTTGAAGGAAGAATCCATGTTATCTTTTCTGGGGACCCCCAGGCGTTGCCAAGCATGGTTCAAAATCTTCCATCTAGTCCAGTTTCTCCACAAGTAGAGAACTTCTCCTCAAGGTCGAGCCTCTGCTTGAATGTGTCCTGAGTTACTCCTACTGAAGACGGCTCATCCCATTGTTGACTTTGCAGAAAGTATCCCTTCACTGTGAACCTGTTAGTACTAATTCTGCCCTCAAGGGAATGAATCTGCTCCCTCCACTTTTAAATTTCTTAAAACAAAATTTTAAAAGAGCAAAAACACCTGTGCACTCATTAAATCTATTCTTCTAGAGCAGAGGTGGGGTTCCCATGAAGCGAATGAAATTTAAACTCTAGGATGCCTTATTTGCCCAGGATCCTCTGAGGTCTCTGTTTTGTCTTCTTTTTCTCTAAATGGGGCCCTCCAAAATACTAAATTTCAGGCTTCACAATCCCCAGGTTCCGCCCACCCTCCAAAGGAAGCTTCTTCAGTCCCAACAAGGGCTTTTCTATGGAGAAGCCACTCACTTTTCAGACGGCTTTCCACTTGGAATGCTCCCTATTTTGCCAATTGCCTGCAGCTGTGATCTAGACAGAGTATGGATCAGGGACGTAATTACAGCCCTTGCCTGCAGTCCTTCCCTTCTGTTGAAGAGTCAGTCCAGCATTGCATTTCCTTCCTCAGCGCTCACACTGGACATTAGGTTAAAACTGCTCCTTAAGACCTTTTCCTGTGAAGGGTCACCAGGCACGTCTCCCCCTCCCTGTGTTCCTGCTACGCTTCTCATTTCTCCTTGGTTTGAGCTCGCCATTCTGTCTTGTTAGGATTTGCTGGAATGCAGATTCCATCATTCAGCTTTTCAACTTTTCACTAAAAATTATATCAATTTGCTTTTTGTGACCAATAATGTCAGCCTTTTCCTTCAAACCAGCTAGCATCTGACCTAAGTAGGCCACTTAATAATATTTCCAGAAGGTACAACAACTTTCAAGAAAACTCAAGAAAAATAAATATCAGTGTTAAAAACTGAAACAGGAGTCTAACACATGCTACAAAGTACCAGTTGTCCATTCTGAGTTGTTCATTGTTTTCCCTTTAAATGAACACTGAGATCATCTCTGAATCACAAATATAAAGGTTATTGGGCCAGTTGTTCCAAGGAAAATGCTTTTATTGGTAAAATTAAAAGTTAACATTCTTGGTTTAGGTTTCCAAGTGAAAAAGGAAAAACTTCTAATGCTTATATTAAAATTTTAGTATGAGGAGAGCAAATCATGTTTGATAAAGAATAAGATGAACACGGATACGTGTGTATGTACAGCTGAGTCCTTTTACTGTTTACCTGAAACTATCACAGCCTTGTTAACTGGCTATGCCCCAATGCAAAAGAGAAAGTCTAAAATAAGAGAAAAAATAAAATGAACATTCATTATATCTAATCCCCTTACATAAAATTAAATGCTTTCAATGTTTAACCTTGAATGAAAGAGTCATATCTTGATTAATATCTTTTCAGTAGGAAATACCACTTCCATATAAAACATATGAACTCTTAAGGAAGATTTTAATAATAATCATAGCCATTTGAAATTTATTAAACATTTCCAATGTGCCAAGTACTATATTATGTATGTTACACATATTAACACACACAAAATATGATGGCATATAGGCATTTAGCTTGAGATAAAGGCAATGTCCAAATGATTGTTCTTATTTTAAATCAAATATTCAAAGTGAGATGTAATATATTCCTTAGAGCTTTATAGCATAAGACAAACCAATTAAATTAGAAAAGAAAGAGTGGATAATCAAACTCTTCTTTATCAAAGATTTACCTTAGTGATGCAATTCACATGTTAAGACACTATATTTCTCCTTGGAACATAACCAGGAAATGAAGCGATTCAGAAGTTTTGAATAACTCTCAATGCTGTTGAATTACTTCATATGCATTTAAAATGCTCATACGGTAATTTGTATAGTGCTTCATAACATTTCAATTGATTATTCTATCAGCCCCAGAATGAGGAATCCAAGAAGATATGCCCTGCCACAGAAGTGACATAAACCTGACTACAGATGCTTCTCCAGATCACTGGGGGAGAACCAAGCTGACGGACTGCCAGCGATTTTGGATTAAGATTCCTTGAGCTCCCTTCTCACATCCTTCTCCACATATCTACCCTGCAGGACTTCCTGCATAGCCAGGACCTTATAGAGACAGCTGAAACTTTGTCCACAGCCTGGCTTCTCCCTGGGGTTGCATTTTCTATTATTTAGTAGACATCTTCACCTGGAAATCCCATGGGCACTTTAAAGTCAATCTCAACCCAAACTTACTTACCAGCTTTTCATTCTCCTGGTCTCAATTCTTATCTTCCCTCTGTATTCTTCCTCTCAGAGGCTTGCAGTCAGCACCGAAACCCAAGGTAGAATCCACAGCTCTCCCTTTCCACGTGCAATACATTACCAGGTTTTTTGAAGAGTATCTTTTACAAAGCTTTCAAGTCCTTTCCTCACTCCCTGACTTCTGGCCACACGTCCCACACACGGATCACTTCAGTTGTCTCTCAAGCTCAAAGCCACCCTCTACCTCACAGCCAACTGTGTTTTATGAGAGGTGAGGAATCACAGCACCAATAGCTGAAAATCATCCTCTGGCCATGTCTCCTCCCCTCTCTCCCATCACTCACATCCATCAATGTGCCTGCATTATAGCTGAGCCTAACACATGACTTGGCAATGAGGTCTCAGGTATGGACCTAGTTCCACATCTTTGCCTTCAACACCTTGACTCAGGTCTCGTAGGGTCCTCAGCTCCCCATAAACAGTCAGTAGGATTAACGTGCCCTTATCTTTAAAGTCCAGAGAAGGAAATGGCAACCTGCTCCAGTGTTCTTGCCTGGAGAATCCCGTGGACAGAGGAGCCTGGTGGGCTGCCATCTATGGGGTCGCACAGAGTCGGACACGACTGAAGCGACTTAGCAGCAGCAGCAACAGTATCTTCAGATTTAATGTACTGTCTAGGGAGACCTTCTCTGCCCCTTCCACATCCCACCCACTCAGATTGAGGTGCCCAATCTGTGTATGTTCATGACCCTCTAATAGCTCCTCAGTAATATCATTTGTCACATAGTTTTCTTTATTGACCTTACTTGTTGACCTGCCTGCCCCCCTCCAGCAGACTTAACTTCCTTGACTGTAAGGACTACAGTTTATTCACATTATTATCCTCAATAGGTAATAGCTACTGAGTCTATTCATTTATAAATATCCAATTGAAATATCTTTCATTTGCATTATATTTAATGTCAAGCAATATGGATGACTGATTGTAAAGACAGCATAGTAATTAAGACTGCATTCCCTCTGTTTCATTTTCCATCTGGGAGACCAAAAGCCATAGTGTAGATGTTATTATTATATGACAGATTAGACCACTAAGGCACAAAAACAGTGTGTAATGTGATGGATGTAAAATGATCTGAACAGTTCTTAGTATATAACAAATGTTCAATAGATGTGAGTGGCTAGGACCTTCCGTTCCTATTAAATTGCAACATAAAATCATATGGTTATTTTTAAACTTGAAGTCACAGCTGTCCCAAAAGATGAATAGCAGTTTTTCATCACTGGCAGGGTTTGAGTCATACTATCCCATTCATTTTCTTCCTGGGTGATTCTTGGAAATCTAAAAAGCATGTGGCATGTGAGAGAACTGTGGTACTGAACATGAACCCTAGATAACTGCACTTTAAAAACACAAAATCATGTTATACAGAGCACTGTATTATGCTGCGTACATTTATATAACTGACGTGTGAGGGAACAGGTGTCACTCAGTCCTATTGCTAAGGCTGCAAAAATAAACAATGAGAGAAAATCAGTCTTTACCTATTACCCAGGAAATAATGAGCATCTCCATCCATGAGAAGCAGGATGTTTTCATCCTGAACAGCTGTTTTGCATGATCTGTGCTGGTTTCATTAGGAAGGATTTTGGTGCCTTCGAATCTGTCAGCTGCATTCATGACTAGCAGTCCCAGGAAAATGGTGAAGGAGGCTGCGTGTGCTACAAACTTCATGAACGGTCCACGCATTATCTTCCCCATCTGCCACAAAACACACCAAAGGGAAGTCTTAGCTTTGTTCTGTGCATTTTGCAAAACACATGTGTGTACACACAAGAACAAACATCTGTGCAGTCCAATGTTCTTCTAAGATATTATGTACATTTACAACTGATAATAGAAAAGTAATCCTTTATGCTAACATAAAATTTGGTCTCATTGCTCATCTACATAAGCTGATATTCTGGATTGATAGTTAAATACATTCACTTCTATGAAATAATATTTAAGTTCTTAAAATATTATATGTAATACTGACAGAATATTTTATTAGTATAATAACAAAAGGCAGAGCAGAGTATCACAATTACTCATGAAAAGCAAACTAATTTAGTGGGCAAGAGGTGTTGAGGAAGAAGCAATGAAAATATTAAACTGAATCTACCTTGCCATATATACACCTTTGGTTGATATTTGCCTTGTGGGCTTCCCAGGTGGCATTAGTGTTAAAGAACCTGCCTGTCAATGCAGGAGACACAGGAGACGTGGGTTCAACCTCTGGGTCAGAAAGATCTCCTGGAGAAAGAAATGGCAACCCACTCCAGTATTCTTGCCTGGAGAATCCCATGGACAGAGGGACAGAGGAGCCTGGCGGGCTACGGCCGATAGGATCACAGAGTCAGACACAACTGAAGTGACTTAGCATTAGTACTGTCTGCGTATGTACTTCACTGATGTGGGTGCAAAGAACTGACTCATTTGAAAAAACCCTGATTCTGGGAAAGATTGAGGACAGGAGGAGAAGGGGATGACAGAGAATGAGATGGTTGGATGGCAATACCCACTCAATGGACATGAGTTTGGGTGGACTCCGGGAGTTGGTGAGGGACAGGGAGGCCTGGCGTGCTGTGTTTCATGGGGTCACAAAGAGTCAGATACGACTGAGCGACTGAACTGAACTGAACTGCTGTGGGTGCAGGTCAGGCTTCAAGTGATGTTGTATGTTGGAGATGCTGTAAGTGGAGCAGAAGCCAGGAGTCCCAAGAAGAGGACGCCCAGCCAAGGGCAGGACAGCAGGGCAGGTCCCGTCATGCACTGGACCAACGTCCTGGAATGACACTGCATTGAAAGTCCAGCATTTTAGGTTCAGGTTCCAGTTTCATTCCCTCATTAGCAATGAGTGAACTTCCTGAATTATGTGAAAATCAGGTCCTTCATTAAAAATATGGAGACCATAAAAGCTCCCATGCATCAATTGTACAGGAATCATTCCCATCTTAGTTGCATGTATCCTAGTCAGAGCAGAGGGGTCGTGTGTGCCCAAGATGTGTCTCAGGGGCTCTGTGCACCCCTGGAATGGTAAACAAAACTCAGTACACGCATGGAAGGACATTTTTGCTTAGGAGAGGGCTCATAGCTTTCAATAGCTTTTCAAATTAACTGATTATTACAGAAAAATATAGAAATTAATAACACCACCACTTATCCAGTACTTGTATGTGCTAATTACTGTTTTAAGTGCTTTACTCTATTAATTACATGTAACCGTTACAACAACACAAAGGGGTATGTGCTGCTGAAATGCCCATTTTACAGGTGAAGAAAAAGAGGAATCGAGGTCCAGAAACTAGCTCCTTAAGTGGTAGAGCTGGAATTTGAACTCAGGTGTACTTGGGGATTCCCAGGTAGCTCAGCTCTTAAAAAGTCTGCCTGCAATGAAGGAGACCCAGGTTCAATTCCTGGGGAATTGGGAAGTTGGGAAGTTCCCCTGGAGAAGGGATAGGCTACCCACTCCAGTATTCTGGCCTGGAGAATTCCATGGACAGAGGATCCTGGTGGGCTACAGTCCACAGGGTTGCAAAGAGTCAGACACGACTAAGCAACTAAGAACAGCATATTTGTTTAAGAGTTAATGTTTCCATTTGGTTTACAACACAATTTCTTATTTTCTCATGGAAGTACATATACATGTAAATTCTTAGGAAAAAAAAGGTTCTAAGGTTTCTAAAAAAGCTAAATGCTATAATGGAAGAAATGCAATCAATATTCTCTGCTCCTACAAACTTTATCGGTCTATATGGTTTTCAAAATCATAAAAGTTAGAGCTATAATAAATCACATAGCTTAGTCCCCTCTCTCTTAACTAGAATCATTTTTTAAAAATTTTTATTGGAGTATAATTGCTTTACAATCTTGTGTCAGTTTCTGCTATACAACAAAGTGAATCAGGTATATGTACGTACATTTTCCGCTCTTCTTGAGCCTCCCTCTCCCACCATCCCACCCCCTGAATCGTTACAGAGCACGGAGCTGAGCTCCTTGTGCCATTAGAAGCGTCCTACTGGCTATCTATTTTATCCGTGCTATCCACGGCAGTGGACACATGTCAATGCTGCTGTCCCAGTCTGTCCCGCCCTGTCCTTCCTCTTCCATGTCCACATGTCCACTCTCTATGTCTGCGTCTCTGCTCCTGCCCTGAAAATAGGTTCATTAGTACTGTTTTTTCTAGGTTCCATTTATATGTGTTAATGTATGATATTTGTTTTCTCTAAGTTAGGCCAGGCAGAATGTCATGTCATGCATGTGTTGTGTGTGTATGTGTGTGTTTATCTAGATTAATAGATCAATCTAGTTTTAAGTCAATGGATCCTCACAGTTAGATGTATTGCAGAGCCAATCCAAAATTAATTTGTAAAAAGTTGCTGTAAAAATCATGTCTGAAAAGCATGTAAATGTTCCTTAGCTTGAATCAGAGTATTTTTTTGTGTTTCTTTTTAAGATCCTGTTTAAATAGAATTCTTCTATAAAGTTAAGACAAATGCAAGAGAAAATAGGATTGATATTCTTTTGCCTATTGTCCTCAGCCATGTTTTTTTAAAATTATGGACTGTTAAAAACTGAACATTAATGCAACTTTAATTTCTTTTCCATAGTGTACCAGATATACAATTTTAATTTGACACTGTTATATATACAATTTATTGTGACATGGCTATTTAATCATGTATTATGTAAAGTTTAATCATGTATATGGCCTTTAATCATTTACTGCAAGGTTCAATATCTTTCTTGTGAAAAAATCTATTGTTATAAATATTAAATTATTTTTTTAAAAGATTTCAATTTATTGACTGTTGTGGAAAACTGGGATTGGGGCATTGACTATTAGTAGTGAAATCCATGAAAAACTTATTTATTCCCTGCCTTGTTCAGGGTGGAATCAGAGGAAGCCTTCAAAATACAAAATAACAAAACTCAAGAAAGCACAAACTTTAGTTTGGGAGGAGAAGAGAAAAAGCTAAGGCTGTAAAACAGAGTGAGAAGAGAGCCACCCACGTTAGAGTGGACCTCAAGTCTGAGAGGTCTGGAGCTTGAGTTCAGCTGTCTGAACACATCTCAAGCCCGTGTTCAGCCATCCAGGGCGATGATCTGCACCTCCCTCCTGAGCAGGCTCACTCTCGCTCTTCATGGGGTTCCTGGCCCTCTGCAATATGACCCCTTCATTCTATTCAGGGGGGAAAGAGGAGAATCAAGCCAAGGGCTTTAGTTGCTTCTTAAAGGTGGTTTAAAGAAAAAATAAAACAAGAAAACAGATAAAAAGCTGGCTGACAGGAAACTAAAGTGATGTGTGTGGATATTCATATTTTCCATTTATTATCACAAATCATCGAGAGTTGCATTTCCCTATAAAGGAGATGCTAGGAGATTCAGTGGACTTTAGGAACCGGAGTTACTCCTTTGAGTTTACTATGAGTTACTCATAGTAAAATTTGTCATCTATATATTCTGTGATATAAACAAATTTCTAAAAAAATAACTAGAGAATAATTGACCAAAGTGAAAACCTGATGGAGTTTCAAAAGGGAGGGGATATTTGTATACCTAAGGCTGATTCATGTTGAGGTTTGACAGAAAACAGCAAAATTCCATAAAGCAATTATCCTTCAATAAAAAATTAATTAATTAAATTAAAAAAACAAAAAAACACACACCAGGGAAAAAAAAACTTATTGGGCAAGGTCTGTATTTTGCTGGTATGATTATCTGGCTACAATATCCGTTCCCTCTCTGGGAACTACAGATCAGATATTATGCTACGAGTTGATGCTCTGACTAACTTTCAGCCCTTAATGCTGAACAAATACAAATTAGAAAGGTGGTTTTACAAAACAGATTGGCCTTAGGTATTCTAACAGCCACACAAGAAGGAACTTGTTCTATTATTAATACCCAATGTTGTACACATATACCAGATATGAGTACTAATGTTATGCACTTTACTAAACACGTGAACAAAATGAATCAGGCTATGGATACTCCTGAAGCTGCCATCACTTCACTTTGGGAAACGTTAACTAGCTCCCCATGGTGGAAAACTATCTAAATCGTAATAATTCTAGTTGTTCTGTTTTGCTGTTTGCCTTACATCTGTAACTGTGTAACTGGATTTGATTCTCGCTGTCTGAAAGCTTTCATGTTACAAATGGTTGTTTAAGCTCCTCCAAGTGCCACAGCCTCCTCCAACTATTACTTGGGGCCCCTGGATCAGAGAGCCTCCATATGAGGGTTAGGAGAATAAGTTGCCTCAATGATTTAGGGACCATGCCCCTCAACAGCAGGAAGCAGTTATGGAACAAAAACAACAACCCTTTCCCTTGGCAACACAATTCTCCTAAAAGAAAAGGCGGGATGAGAGAGTCAATTCCTAGGCAGGTTGATAATAAGCCCAGGGTCCCCAAGGAGAGAGGGTCTGGGGTTCTTGAGGAGGAGACAGGAGTCTGGAATTCTCAAGGAGGAGGAAAGGACAAACTTTTTTTTTTTTTCTCTACATTCCTTAGTCTTAGTCACATAAAACTTTTTTTTTTCTTTAAACCCAGAACTGATGATTACACACAAAGAAACAATTCAGTTTAAATTCTGTACTAGGGATTATATAACAAAAATGTATCCTGCTTGAGGACAGTTCTTCCTTCCTGAAAAGCTTCTGACTAATCCTGATATCTTAGAATGTATATCATGGGAGTGGGTCTGGTAGGGTCTTTCTATCGTTAAGTTCTAATCCTGTCATTCTAAAATGTAAATTGCGGGAGTAGGTCTTGTAAGATCTTTACAACCTTGAGATGTTCTTTTGATTTATTGTAATAACTAATTTAAAAAGTATATAGCTCCCTTGCTAAGACTAATGAGGGGGGCATTCTCCATCCCTGTTCTGATGTCTATCTCAGAAGCTTTCTCTACCCCTTTTCACTTTAATAAAACTCTGCTATACAAAAGAAAAAAAAAAAAAACACAAAACTGATGTACCTGTAAAATGACTGAAAGGAAGAACTTTAAATATTACATCATATTCTTTTAAAGTATGTATTTATGATTAAATAGCTATTAAATACCAATAGTAAATAGAAAAGGTTGAAGCTAGTTCTAGCTGAAGCCAAAATGATTTGAAATCACAGCATGACCTATTTTTACTACAATGAGCATAAAACATATTTGGATTATGGTGGAAAAAAGAGAACAAGTGAGGACAAAAAAGAATTTCTTAAAGAGCAGATTCGAGGAATGAAAACCAAGTTCTAAACAGAAACAGGGATTCTGTCAAGGTGCATAGGCCTGGAATTTGATCTGGTACGATTTTCATGGGTGTTTTTGAATTTTTAAGTATTTAAAACAGTATTTTAAATAAAAGTATCAATACAACTTGAGTAATTTTCCCTTATTAAAAAAATTCTCTAAGCTGTAATATTCATATCTATATCACTAAAGGGAAAATATAAAATATATTTTATAATCATGCTTCAAACCCTAAATGAGAGTCAGTAAAATAGATTTTAGATATGAGAAAAAAATACCTTGACAGTGTCCTTTTAATTTGATTATTTGCCTTAATGATCTAAATGAGAATGAAAAACAGATGCCAGAAAGAAACATAGTCAGGAAGAAGAAATAGTGAAGGAAATCAGGTTGATTAGGATTTAATAAAAAATTAAGAAACGTGCAACTCTAAGGACTGCCAAAAATAGTCTGTCAAACACCAAACCCTCTGAAAGGCATTATGCTTTTGAGCTCATTATGGAGATGGGCAATTATTCACTTTAGAAAATATATTACAGTTTAACTGATCACAGAGTAATAACAAGCATAATTCAGTTTAAATCTCCAAAGAACCCGGAAATGTGTGTAGAAGCAGAATAGGGACTACATACATAGATGTGGCCTGTGTTCTAGTAAGGAGGATTAATTAGTTTTTTCAAAATGAAATCTGTCATTCCTATGAAAAAAGGAAAAAAAGTTTAACTTTCTAGAAAAAAAAATGCATGCTATAAATTTTAATTCTAGTAAATATCACTATTTTCATTTATTTTCCTCCTTTATATTTTATTTATGAATCAATTTTTGGCCTTTATGGGGGAAACATTTATGATGATAGATTTTACCCTCAGGAGAAAATGCCCAGTTTCTAGCAGTTCCTATAATGATGAAGCTCCCACTATGTGAAAAAGGCTTTGCACCAGTTTCCTACTAAAAGCCACTTAGAAACATTCCTATAAGGTTAAAGCACCAAATATGTGACTAAATAATAATAATAATAAAAATGTTGGCAATAAATAAAAAAAACAATGGCAAGATGTTTGTGGACCCATGTGTAACAAATATTTGAAAATAAGCCATATCAGGTTTAAGAACAGCAAGTGATTCAATTGGCATATCTACACAGCACATATAGATAGTCCCGTAGACATTTTAGCTACATAGCTTTAGAATTATTTAAGCTTGACTCTCAGAGTTGAAACTTAAAAGGTTCCAGAAATGTGGCTTCCAAAATATGAAGAATAAGATTGTTGGCAATGCAGGGCAAATTTCTATGCCTGTTAAAGAATGACAGGTCAACATTTTCCAAACTTGTTCTGAAAGGCTAGGTTCATTTGAACAAACCAATTTCATCAAAGTCTGGGCAGAGGGAGTCTGCTAAAAATAAAAACAAACAAACAAATAAAAAAAGCTATCTTTGCTGTCAGGTTACAATGTATACTGTCCCAAAATAAATCCTCTTCATTGAAACAAGCATTGTAGGAGCATTTACACAATTGTCCTTTATTTATATTAAGATTTATTAGTTAAAATAAATGATAAACAAAAACTTTCATCTCAAATTTTGCCAGCGGGGGCGGGGGGGGGACAAAAGGAAGCATTCTTTTAGGATGTTATTTGAAATTCTGCTCAATGCACGCCTCATTAAAAATGTAGAAATAAATGCATAGGCATGACTAGAGAGAAGACAAATAGGAATAATCTGAGGTTTTCTTTCACGTATTACTAACGGTGATATTGCAGGTGAATTTTGTCTTCCCATTGCTTTTTAAAATTTTCTTAGAGCAAATATGTTACTTTTATAACGTGAACCCAACTCTGACTTCCTGACATTTTGGAGAAATAGAGTTTTCGCTGCTTAACTGGCTCTGATACACAGACCAGACAGACTCGGGGCGGTTGCAGAGGCCCAGGTGTCACTGACGTACCTTGCTGCAGGGGGCGAACCAGTAAAGCAGGGCCAGGAAGGGCAGGCCCGCGGCCACGGCGAGGACCACCAGGAACTTGACCGCCACGGTCTGCTGCCGCAGGCCGGACAGGTTCTCGTACCAAATGGACAGGAGCTGCTGTTGGCAGTTCGGGTGGGCTACAAACTAGCGGGGATAACAAAACATTTAACAGCTTGATTAAAGAAGGGTTCAGCATAAGCCTTTTTCTTGTGTTCCTTTCCCATAAAGATATTGTTAGAATTAAAGAACAAACGTAAAGTATGTAGGGGACAAGTATCAAGCAATGTGGCAGGAGGTTCTAATATAGTTTACGCAAATTCAAGGATTCAAATTTATCAGACTTTTCCTTTAGGACTAATGGGCTTTCAAAGCATAGACAAATTTTGAAAATTTAGTGTTATAAAAAGCTTCATCAATATTTTATATGAGGACTTTTATGATTATGCACTTTTTCCATCTAGAAGGAATGATATAAAGATCCTGCTAGTTTAGATATCTAAATACTTTAAAAAAAAAAGTATACTACCTTTTCTGCACTGACCTAAAGTACTAAATGTATTTTATACTAGATTCCCATTTCCATATGGTCTTTTTATGGACTACCTATTCTATTCCATTGATATATTCCTGTGCCATAAGTTCTTTCAAATAAGAAAATTATATCATTAAATTTCAGAATTTTTACTTTTCAGAATATTTTTATTCTCACATATTTAATTTTTACAGATGAATGCTACATATGACAGAGAGCATTATTTAATATACAAAAAGCAACAGTCCAAAATAACAATTGCCAAAGAATATTAAAAGGTTAGACAAAGGACAGATTATATAAAAAGGAACTAAAAATATTTCCTAAGGATATTAACAGTCAAAGACAATTAAATCAAGATACAATGTTTGTCTCTGTAGAATGGTAAGGTTTAATGATGCATAAGTGGAAGAAATAAGCCTTTCTATACACTCTTGACATGTGTACCTTTTTTGAGGGAAATTTATCAAATGTTTTGAAATAACAGAAACTTAAAATAATGGACACCCTTAAACAGTAGATAGATTAAATGAACATAATAATATAAATCAGCACACTGATATGTAGGCTTTGAAAAGGTTGAGTGGATGTTTATATACTGATATGTGAAGATGTCCAAGATAAATTTATGGAGAAAAATAGAATACTGACTATTCTCCATTAAGAAATAGGAAGACAGAAAGGGGTTATGTCTATACTGTTTGAAAGCCAATCATAAGTCTGTATTACTTTTATTATAAAATCCACCTTTAGAAACTGGTGTTTTTTTTAAGATATCTTACGTAACCTAAGAAAGCAGTCAAGAATAGGAGGCACTGCCTGAAGACAGAGACTAAAAATATTCCACAAATAAAGATGCAAGAGATTCAAATGCACTAAAGAAGGAATTGAAGGCATTGGTCCAGAATTGGACTAAATTAATAAATGGAGATTGGTCTTAAATAATGATGTTCCCATTCTATAACAAATGCCTTGTAGTTTGAACACACAAAGACATTTTTACATCATTTGTTAAGTAAAAGAAAGTGTCAATCATTGCAGAAACAAGTCTAGATTTTAAAGACCAGCATTTAGTGTAAGTGGAATGTCTCACAGCCAGGCACTTAGAATTTACAAGAGATCCTACCTAGAGCAATTAATCAGAAAAACCCAGCTTAGCCTAATTATGCCAACCCTTCATCTTGATTTAGCACCAATAAAAAGTGAAATAACATAAAAGGGGCTTTGTGCCTGATCTTACTTTTTTTACATCATACTTAATGGCAAGTTTTAAACGGCTGAGGTTAGGACGACCATGATCTCCACCACTGTGGCGTATTTCAACATCCCCATTCAGAATGGCTTCCACTTCTTCAGTATTTCTGCACAGATCAAGGAGTCCAACAACGAAATCTTTGCACTGCATCGACAGTTTTTTGTAGTCATTCTAGGAAAGATAAAGCAAAGCAAAAAAAAAAAAAAGTAGAAGTATCACATTTTACTATGTTACACTGTAGAATTTATCAGTGATTTGACTGTAGAGAAAACAAAAGCTCTATTTTTAGGTTTATTATTCTTTTTAACATTCTTCAGTTGCTATTCCGTTGAGTGAGCTCTAAAATATAATAGCACCATAAAGATTGCCTTTATATCCCTGAAGAGGAAATTTGTCTAAAACACAACCGAAGTTGTCAAAAAGTACTGTACTACACCAAACTCACTTCCTGATTCAGGAGAAATAAAAAGCAACTCTTCCCATATCATGACCATACTTTCTTGCACACATCATATCTCCTATGTTCATAACTTCATCAGCTAGGCACATAATACATATATTTTCTAGGTCTTTGGAAGACCTTATATACTGTGTTGATGAACTTAAGAAACACAGAACATTTGGAAAGGTTTCAAGAAAAGCAAACATATATCACTAATCTATTTACTAAACTGTTATTGAGGAAATTTGTTTATCAAACATGGGATCAAAAGACAAGATCTCATATAAAGTTCACAAATTGAGATTTGTTGGATAAAAGGAAGTTTAATGAAAATGCTTTCATTATAAATTACTGCTGAGGACCTAATAGCATGTTGAGAGGATTTAGAGACTACAGATCATATTTAAACATTAAATACTAATTTTGAATTTACATACACCATGCATGTATATCTTCATTTGGGTCTTTCTAAAATTTCCTTCCTCTGTATTCTCTTACATGGAAATAAGGCCATTCATAACCCAATGTTAATAAAGATAATATGTTAGCTAGAATTTGTTGCACTGCAAGTGGATCATAGAATCTTAGTTAATCTTCACAGTCACCTTGATCACTTAGGTTATGTCCAAAACTGTGCAGCTACTAGGTACCAAAAAGAGGCTTTAAATTTAACACTGTGTGGCTACACTTTGCCTGTAAGGGTTTTGTCACTTTGTCTCTTTGTAGAATGCTTTTTTGTTTCGATCTATGAAGAGCTGCAAGGTAAGCCAGGTAAATACTGTTTCCACTTTGTACATCAGAAAACTAAGGTCCCTGAGGTCACAGCGTCCACAGCTGAGTTTACTCTTCAGTCAGCTTTGCAGATTCAGAATTAGTTGTCTCCTGCATTTTGAAGTCACCAGTGTGTTACAGGATAAAAAGATTCCTCACAGGGATCAAGAGAAGAGGATACTGGAGAAATATGAGAGGCTCTAGATGTGAGTCAATAAGTAATATTGGGTTGAGTCTATATGGAAAACAGTTTCATCCTGAGTATATGCAAAGCACCTACTTGGGTACCTCCCTATAAATCATGCCAAGTTTCACTTTGCTAACTGTAGGTTCAAACAGATCCTATAAAAGGAAATTTATAAACTATGTCACAACTGAGAATGACTCAAACTACTTTCCACAGGTATCTGGTCAGATAGTATAAATAAGGTCACGAGGAAACAGCTCTACCCCTTTCATGATGTAGTCAGTTAAGGTCATGGGGAAGACCTTTGAGGTGTGGGAGTACATATGTTGTCCATGCCCACTATTCCATGTTATAGTGGTTAGGAGCTTGGGCTTTTAAGGTTAGATATGTGCTACATGCATGCTAAGTTGCTTCAGTCATGTCCGACTCTTTGTGACCCCACGGACTGTAGCCCACCAGGCTCCTCCGGCCATGGGATTCTCCAGGCAAGAATACTGGAGTGGGTTGCATGCCCTCCATCACTGGATCTTCCTGACCCAGGGATCAAACCTGTGTCTCTTATATCTCCTACATTGGCAGGCAGGTTTTTAACCACTAGCACCACCTAGGAAGCCCAAGGTTAGATATACTCATAATCAAATCCCAGCTTTTCCATTTTTTAGCCATGTGACCTAAGGTAACTTAAAATCAATCTATGAAGTAGGTGCTATTATTATTCTCATTTTACAGATGAAAAAAAAAAAAAACACAAGGCTTAGTGAGATTAGTTGTGCTAAAGAAATCACACATTTCTTTATATATAAAGAAAGAACATATATAAAGAATATATATAAAGAAGTGAATATCAAGCACTTGATAAAACATAATTATTGTATTATATCATCAAAGGCAAGACCTGAAAACAAGCTGTTTCTTGACATTAGTAAGAACTCATGGAGTTATGACAAAATTTAATATACCTGGCCTCTCTTCCGTTTGTAGAGCTCAATTCTAGATGTATCCTTAGTCCTTATGGAGACAAAAATGTAAGACTCAAAACCAAAACTCTCTAGAATTCCAATAAGGCTCATGTGAAATTAGATATTTCAAAGGAGGGTATGACCCTTCAAATATGGGGTAATACTGTTTAGTAGAAACCACATGAATTGATAAAGTACAGGTGTTCTTTGCTGTACAATATCTTAAAAATTGTTTCCAATTCATTGCTAATTCACAAGATATATTCCAAGCAAAAACAAAACAAAAACCCATTTTTTGAAGAAAGAAACAAATAAGACTGCTTTTAGAAATATGCTTTTTTTTCACCTTGGGAATCATTTACAAATGTTTTCATATTTATGTTCTCTCACACTGAAATGTAAACTCACTTAAAGTGAGATATTGGCAGTAGTTCATGAGCCAGACTTAACACTGTGATTTCAGTTTTTTGAAAGAAAAAGTGAAGCTGGTGGTTGATTTAATTCTGCCTTTGGCTTACACAGTCACACCATACATTAATAAATTAAAAGTGGGTGCTTGACTATTAACCTTTGACTTATAAAGAGATGACTGATAGTGGGTTAATAGAACATAAAGATTATAAAACATAAAAAGACCCTGATACAATTATCCTTTCAAAGGGTCATTTCAGTTGGACTTTTATATAGTAGAAGATACAGTGTATAATTTAAATGCATAATTCCATATAAAGAAAAGTCTGCTTTATAGAAATTAAAAGGATGAGGAAAATGCATGTCTTAATGAATCAACCTAATTAATTAAACACTAATTAAGTGAGTTTTGGATAAGGGCAGACCTGGATTTCAAGTTAAGTACAGTCACTTACTAGGTGCATGAGTTGGGCAAATTACTTAAGCCCTTACAGCCTCAAAATTCTTATTTGTAAAGTGGGGATAATATAAGGTTCTTCCTAGGGTTGCTGTGAAGGTCATACAAGATGACAAATGCTAACTTCCTGGTTCAGGGATGGGTTGAATCAATGGTGGTTATTATTGTTGTTTTCATTATTTCACAAATACCCAAGTCGTCTCAGTACCCTGACACAAAATTTCACTAAAAAATATAAAACCATGATGAAATCCCTAGTGATAAAAGATATTTTCACATACTAAGGCATGGGTAAGTCATTCTGGCTTATACACGAGTTAACTTAAATTTAAGCTAACTAAAACAGCCTGTTTGTGGCCTGTCAAACATACATTGTACATCTGCTTTAATTATTAAGAAAAGGACACAATGACCAGAAGTAAGGAATGTCCATGTTAAAAATAAAAATTAAATGCCTCCCTTCCTGGGAAGCCCATACTGGTCCTCCTTTTTGAAAAGATTCCTTTCCCAGGTGCCAAGGCCATACTGACTAACTGTGGACATGCTGACCTGTGTTTTGAAACCTTGAAGGAAGGTATCCCTGACTTGCTTAATGTTCTTTGTTGTGACAAGATATAAAACCGTGCTAAAAACCGTGCTTTTCCAGATCAGTTCCTCAAAATTATGAGAGGCTGTCTTCCAGGCTTCAGTTTGGCTTAAATAAAACTCTTTTCTAAGCCTATTGTAGATTGTTTATTGATTATTTTCATCAACATTGAGTATCACTTGAATGTGCTGAAAATAAAACAATGATTCACTCATTTATTATTTCAACAAAAATTCTACAAATATTCAGCAGCTAGTGCTGTGATAGATACCACATTCTATCTCAGATGGAATTTTTAAAATGAGATTGCGTTCTTGAAGAATAAAGAAAGCATAGACTATCATTATCCAGCTAGTGACTGAATTAACCAGCCATGCTCTTGGAACCACAAGCAACTCTAGGGCTTTCCTGCTCTTCAGAATAATTGTCACTAAATGGCACAATGATCCCTGAGCCCTGTCACAGCTGGTGTACAGAAGAGTAACATGCATTTATACAGCACCTACTACACAGGGTTGTGAGTGACATAAAAGGTAATCGAGACAAGTGCTCAGGGCTGGTGCACTGGGAAGACCCAGAGGGATCGGGTGGAGAGGGAGGTGGGAGGGGGGTTCAGGATGGGGAACACATGTAAATCCATGGCTGATTCATGTCAATGTATGACAAAAACCACTACAATATTGTAAAGTAATTAGCCTCCAACTAATAAAAATAATTGGGAAGAAAAATAAAATAAAATAAAAAAATAAAAAACAAAGGTAATCAGATACTGCTCTAAAGAAAAGGTAACAGGAGGTGAGATACAATTTCAGACAAGAACTGAAGACAGACATTTTCCTAGATATGTCAGATGCTGCTCACTTTTATGTTGATCGTTGCCATAGCAGCAGCTACTTATTTAACTTAATACGGTGTTTGATTACAGTTTTTATTCTTCCTTCAGCATAGAAATTCTCAAGTTCAGCTGAAGCAATGAAGCCTAAAGAGCAGCCATGAAGGTAAGCAGGTGCTTCAGGGGTTGAGGGCTCTCAGGTTACAAACCGCCGCACTTAACTCCCTAACTATTGACTGGCCTTCGATCTAAAGTTTTGCCAGAATGGATTTTCTTTGCCCATCTATTTAAACTGATAGGAAACTCAAAGACAAGAACAGACTCATACACTTTACTGCATTTGTTCATGTATCGGCCTCTCTTCAGTACACTGTGGATCCCAAAAACCTGGGGAAAATTCAGAAAGAGATAGGAAATACCAGACCACCTGACCTGCCTCCTGAGAAACCTGTATGCAGGTCAAGAAACAACAGTTAGAACTGGACATGGAACAATGGAACGGCTCAAAATTGAGAAAGGAATACCA